ACACACACACACACACACACACACACACACACACACACACACACACATTTTCTCCAAACAACCACATTTAATCACCACAACCAGGAAATATGCCTCAGCACAGCACTGCCATCAAATCCTGTCCAGTTGTGCTGTGCATGTACTCATGGCAATCAAATCAGTTTAGAAGCATGAGTGGCCTTCAGCAGGGCTCACTCTTGAGACTCCTTTTGTTGGAAAACCCCCCATCTTTCCTAAATCTGTAGGACCAAGACCACCCATTTTGCAGAATGAGTCTCCTGATGAATCTCAGCTTGTCCTTTACTGAGGATGTTCTTGCCTCCTGACTATTTCATCTCAGATCTCTATTGGGCAACCCCTCCCATGGCATTTCAAAAGCATTTTGTAGCATGGCATCTTATGGAAGCATTCCATCCCTCAACATTTGAATCTAGCTCTTATTTATCTTACTACAAGTGCACAGCTTTCATTTGCTGTATATTGTCTTGATGCTCCACACTAAGAAAACTGGGAACCTCTTGGCCCTTTACCTTGTGTCTTGAAGACATATCCCTGGTATGTATCCTGAAACCCCATGTGTTTATGCTTGCTGTTCCTTGGGAATGTTGATGCCATGTCTTCAGTGGCCAGAGCCATCAAGTACCACATACACAGGTCACCACATACTTCACATCTCAACTTACTTTTTCCTTCACACACTTAAAGCATTAGCTTCACAATGACGTCTCCAATTCCAGGCCAATACAGAATCACGTTCCTTCTCTTTGCATACTGTGACTACATTGCATAAAGGTTAAAAAAAAAAAAGTCTTGCCCCTCTCTTGGGGCTAGATCTTCCTATCTCATACTCTGGCACCAAGCACCAAGTCACCACTGCTGGTTCCCTTCCTGTTTGGATCTCTGCAGATCTCCACTGAGTTCCCACATCTCACATCACGCCTATCCCCCACCCCTATTTTCCCACATACATACCTTCATCTCCTTTGACTCCAAAACCCAAGCAGGCAGATGCCCAGCTCAGGTTTCTTGTCAGTCCTTTCATGCAAGTTCCTGTTCAGGGTCTGACAACAATGGGGTCAGGACCCACACAGAAATCCCCATGTCCCACCTTAGGATACAACACTTGGTGACTCATTGGTCACGTAAATTCCTTCCAAAATAGAAGCTTATCTCACCCAACAATCCCAGAACTTCTGGATGAGAGAAGGATGTTTTTAGGGAACAACCATACTGGTTTTGTTTGGGTCTTGTTTTCCATGTTTATATGATGTATGTATGTGTTCTTGTGTTTGCATGTATACATGGAAGCCTCTGGCCAATGTCAGGTATCTTCCTAGATTGCCTTCCACTTTACTTTTTAAGACAATGACTCTCAGTGACTCCTGAGCTTATTTATTCAGCTAGGATTTATATCCCTCCTCCTGAGTGCTTGGATTATATGCTGACAGCCTCTATGCCTGTCTGCTATGTGGGTGCTGAAGATTCAAGTTAATGTCTTCATGCTTGTTGACCACGTATACTGTCAAATGAAATCTCCCTTCCTTTCATCCTGTTCTGATCTCATGGTCAACAACTTTTGAACAAGTCAGTTGGAGACACAGTCCTTACTCTATGTTATTATAATTCCTTTGGCTAGAACAAACTTTGTAGGAATCCTGAGTCAAGAAAAATAGACTCCAGTCAACTAAGTCATGTGACTTATCTTGGTTTCCCATAACTCGCCAGGCTCAGAGGACAAAAATACTGATCCTACAGGGTTATGCTCAATTTATAGCACCCCTCCTTTCCCAAGTTTTCCTTCACTTGCCCATCTTTCCTTCCTACCTTCCTTCCTTCTTTCCTTCCTTCCTTCCTTCCTTCCTTTCTAATTTCTTTGAGACAAGGTCTCATGTAATACAGACAGGCTTCAAGCTCACTTCCCAACAAGTGAACTGCTAGCCACGTGAGTTTCCATTTGGACTTAAGGATGGTTTTGAATTCAGATTCTCCTGGCTGTCTCTCGAATGCTAGGACTATGGGAATACACATTTTTAGATACATTTTAAAAAGTGTTAGGTTGCACTGTTGTTTTAAAAACTAAAGAGCATAAAGGTGGAGTTAAAAAAAAACATGAATCAGTCTCCAGTTTAGAGGCAATGTGTTAACATACTTTTATTTATTAAGAATACCTTTCAAATTGAGTGAAAACCCGAATGCCTGACCAAAGCCAAATGTGCATCAGAAATCAATGAACAGATCCCAAAGCAGCCTGCTACCTCATTCATCAAAGACACCAGTTCTTCTATGATAGAATTCCTGACTTCATGCTTCCTTTCACACTCAGTGTGAAGAGTGAGAAGCCATTTCTACGAACTATTCCTGCCATCTGTTGTGACCTCTGGAAAACATTTGTCACTGAGAACAATACACTCAAAGAAAAGATTTACATATTGTATACTCCCCCTACCCCCAAACAGCCATTTCCCAAAACATGTTTCAGGGAACCCTGCAAATTAAGATTCTGTTTGCCATAGATTAAAAAAGGGTTTGGGGTAAAACAAGAAAGAAAATACTGATTCACTAAGGTGCTCCACTGCAGGCCTTCTGAGAGCCTACATTATATGAATCATACAGAGAAAAATTAAAGCAAATAAACACACACAGATTTGGGGCCCTTTAAGCCTAATAATACGGAACTATACTTTCATTTTCAGAACCAGGATACTATAGATAAATCAAAAAGAAAAATACTTAATACTTATGGCATTTAACAATCATGCTGTATCACTTTAACTTAAAATGTTGCCCTTTACAAAAAGAAAGAAAGAAAGAAAGAAAGAAAGAAAGAAAGAAAGAAAGAAA